GATGGCACACTAATCGGCTCTAAAATAGCCACTTTCTGAGTTATACCATATTTAGCTCGCCCCACTATAGACTTAGATGATAAAGTACTTTATTGGATGAAACAGAGCTCTAAGGAACTTAAAAGAATTATTGACTCGCCAGAACCCAAAGAGTGGTGGCCAGTTAATTTCACAGAAGAATTTGAGGAGGTGGAAAATCCAAGGGTCTCAGAGAGAGTAGACTTAGATGAGGACTAGAGATTAAAATGAATGCGGAAACGCCTCCCATGGGCATTTTATTCGAGTAAAGACAGAAAATACAGTAAAATTGCTGTATGAGGAAGGAAAATAACTACGACTTATGGGTACATATCAAGAAACTTTGCGACAAGGCACGTGACTGTCTTCTCTAGGAGTGGAAGCGAATCAAGCTGGAAAGGCAATATGTACTCAGTGTCGAAGTAAGGATAAGAAAAAGAAGGATGTAAGCCATGATATACCGAAATGAGGCGACCAGAAGACGGGTGGATAATGTAGACATCTAAAATAATAGGTTTAGAAGTGCGTAGCTGAAGACTCCATGCTAGACGTGGCAGAAGGAATGGGACGAGTGTCGGCCTCCACATGAGTGGTATCTCCAGCTGGGGTTGCCTCTTGAACCTGTGGGCGAAGGGCAGCCTGTATTCCATCAAGCTCATTGAGGAGAAAAGTGCGCTGCTTCTCTGCAGTGTAAATTGTATGCTGTAGCATGAAGATGTCACCCAAGACGGTGCTCTCAAGCCTAGCCAGATGCTCTGGTTGCTCCACCGTGAGGCTGCCCATGGATGGTCCCTGATAAAGCTTGTGAAGAGCAGAGCTGCTGGGAATACTTTCCCCATTGCTGGATGCTAGAAATAACAGTCAAGCATTAGGAATTAAAATTAAGAGAGATAAAGAGTTAGATACTTACAGGTACTAGTAAGTCCCAGAACAGAGGCTGGGCATTGATCTCCGACTCCTTTAGTACCACGAGTGTAATACTCTCGAGTAGAGGGTAGAGGGAAGGAGTGCTTAGCATGTTTATTAATGTGAGAACTGTCCTTGTTGACAGACTTGGAGGAATTTGTCTGAATAACTTTGTGAGTTAGAAACAGAAAGTAGTGCGTGATTAACTGAAACTCACCACGCCTTTCTCAGGACAATCCAAGAGGGAATGAGTATTTAAGCCACAGTGGAAGCAGGCAGAAGGCTCCTCCTAAAAGTCAGGACCTTTTAGTGGGGGGGATATGAGGCAGAAAGTGCAATAAAAATATTACCTTGCTGGGTTCCTTGCGCTTTTCACCAGTAGATGCCTCGCCCGCCTTAGCCTACGAGAACTTGAGGTTCTTAGCGGTCTTGGATACCTCGTCATCGAGGACCATCTTGAATAGACTCTGAGTCAAATAATCAAGCAGCAAGGGATTCTAAGCATACTTTAATCGACTCGGTATCAGAATCAGAATCGAGGGGGGCTACCTTGTCATTATCCTCATCTTCATCCTCAGAGTCAGTATTGACTGTGGGGCAGGAATGGTGAGTAAAGCGACCTTTGCCCTTGACACGAGATGCAGCATTGGCCTGAATAAAAATAGGTTGAGCCCGAAAGAAATAAACTAGAAGAGAAAAAGCCATACAGATTTACTGTCATGTCATGTGCCAGCACTAGCAGACGAGGAGTTATTACCTCCCTCACCAGACTGGGAACGCTTGGACTGAACCCATCCAGTAATAGTCTTGAGGACCTTATGGATGGGCTGTTTTGATGCACTGGTATGATATTCCTTCTCAACAGCAGTGCGAGCATGAAAGACAGCCTCCTTGAGATCCTTGTCCTTGATAAGCTCAGCCTTGTAGTGCTCAAGATGAGACTATGTTGTGTGTTTAGCTACAATAAATCTGAAAGATAGCATGACCGGACTTACAGTATATTCCTGGAGCTGAGCAAGATGCTCATTTGCAGTGGTAGCTGGGTCCTTGCAAAGGGACATGATAACAGCCTTCACAACGATGAAAGTAGGAATCATTTTGAAAAAGTCAAGAGTTGAGTAGTGAGAGATAAAAGCTTGGTAGGGCGAAGACAAGAAAAGATACCGTTGAGTGAAGAAATAATGGAGAGACATGCCCACTTTTATAGTGAAAAATGAGGGCATAGACAACCGCAAAAAGATTTAATTGCAGCGAGACAACTGTAGAACAAAGTCAAGCCTGTACTTAGAAAAATACATGGGGATAATAAACTACCGCGTGTGAGCCGCTAAGCTGACATTAATTGACTGGATGAAAGGGAATTAATTTATTTGAATTTGATGACTGAGGACAGTCAGTTTCTTTTAGTGGGGGGGATATAGTAGTATACCTACAGTATTACTATTAACATATTACCTGGAAAGGTACATAAAATTTTGCGATTTTCTGAAACTCAGAAAGAAGAGAGCAACAGAGTACCTTTAAGAATGAAAAAGAAATAAAATCAAATTAGAGCGGAAATAAACTTACAATATATGTCACGGTGTGGCGGATATGACAGATAAAAAGACATATTTCCTAGAGTGAAAAGGACAGGCTACAAAGCCTGAGGAATACAGGATTGGCTGTCACAACAAGCTAGGAAACAAAAGGAAATAAATTTAAGAAAGGAAAAACGAGATGATAAAATAACGAACTATGGAGCAGATGAATAAAGAAACTGTGGATCAGGCACATCATGACATGCCACAATAAGACGTCATTGACCATTAAGTTTGAAGGAAGAGAGACTTAGAGAGACACACAAAAGAGGAGCAGCAAGAAGAGAAGAGATGATATTAATTGTGGAGTTGAACTCTGTAAGAAACTGCATGGCATATACAATGTAGCTACTGCTGGCTGCATCTAAAGACCCTGAGTGCTACGATAAATAAAGGAAAATGAATGTACAAGAAAACAATTGACGCGGTATGACAAAAGAATACTAGAGCATTCAAGAAATTGGTATAGTACATACAAAAACCCTTTAAGCATCATCGGCCCCACCCTCAGACCCAGAATCGGAGGCATCCTTGCCAACCTCAATGATGAAAGAATGAATAAGGTTGGAGACCTCAGCATAGGCGTCGATGATAGCAGTTCCCCCCTCACGCAAAGCAATAGAGTCGAGACCGTCAACCAATTCTTGAACGACCTTGTTGTGCTTGGCCATGTGGCTGTGAGCAAGGTTGTAGAAGGTTCCGATCTTGGCATCGAGGACTGTGACATGGTCAAGATGCTCGCAGATAGCTGAAAAGAAATAATGAACTATGAAAAAGAAGAGGGAAATAAATAAATAGACTTACCAGGGTCACCACTCAAGGTGAGTGGGTCGAGAAGGGTAGCAGCATGCCGGAAATCCACGGCATTGAGTCATGCGGAACATTTTCCATGCCTGCCTGTCTTGCATTTGGTGCAGGCTTCTTCTCCAATTTCCCCAGTGAACTTGCAGAGTTCAGGAAAACCAGAGAAGCTGCAGTTAAAGCAGGGATGGAAAATCTGAATGAAGAAGATGAGAAAGGAGAATAACCATGACGAGAGAGAAAATAAACTTACATTAGGCATGCACAGGATGTGCGCCCCGAGATCAGAGTGAGCATGGAATACAGCAGGATGGCCATTGCGCATTTTGGTTGAAGGCCTAATAAATTAAGTTGAGCAGGAAGAAAAGAAAGAGAGAAAGTAATAAAATGCCTTACTTGAAAAGAGAAGCCAGTGCAGGAGGTAAAGCCAAGAGCTTGAGGTGCTCGAGGGCTTGACGGGACAAGGGCTCATGAAATTGGAGGTCCACCGATGGGTGGAAGGCACACGCATACATGGTATTGTCAACCATGACTGAGTGGACGCTCAAAGAAATTTCTTCCTCAGGCACACCAGAGCCAGACGCAATGGGCTCAGTCACAGCACTAGTAAACCTCCATGCATGCATGACATCGGCCATGACATGAGGTACAGAATCCCCCTGCTGCATGGCTTCCTCCTCGTCCTCGGGTACTGGCTCCATCTCCTCCTCAGGGATCTTGTCTTGAGAGTTGGGAGAAGGCGCTTCATAGGATAAGGCCTCAGATGCAGCCTTGGCATGTGGGTGTCCAGTAACAATAGAGGCCTTGAGATGGCCACGAATAGATTTTTGCATGCTAGAGGCACCCCGGCCTTTCTTGTTTTTGGAACTGGGGGGTCGTCCACATCCTCGCTTAGCCGGTTGAGGTGGTGGTGATGGGGAAGGAGGCACGGCAGCCTTTTGTTTTCCCTTGGCCTTCTCAGAGGGTGCAGCAGGTGGAAGAGGTGGCACGGGAGCACTGGGCACTATAGAAGATGAAATAAATGAGAGACCGTTTAACGGCTCTCCAGTGAGAGGATGATATGCATGAGGAGGGGGTGGCACATCAGGTGACTGCCTTCATACACGCTTTACCAGTGGAGGAGTAAGACTAGAGTCCTCCTCTATTAATTCCTCCTCCACAGCTCCTTCCTCCTCTGCTTCGTCTCCTTCCATCTCCTCATCTTCATAAGACACGATAGGAGGAGCTAGGAATAAGAAGTCGTCAGCAGAGAGAATAAGTAGAGGGACAAATAGATTATTATCTGGGATCACCGGCTTTTTGGCTGTGACCACGGGTTTCTTGGGGGATGGAGACCCCTCTTGGGTTCCACATGATGAAATCTATAAGGGAGAAATGGAAATTGAATAAAAAGAAGATAGCAAAAGAACTGGGGCTTACATAGAAGCTTGTGCCTTTTGCGGAGTACTTAAAATAGGCAACTAAAAGCAAAAAAAAAAAAAAAAAAAAAAGCGTCAATAAGAATAAGTACAGACAGAGCAAAAATGTACTTACACTGTCATGCTCGTGCTCTTCACGAGCTCACTTGTGTGTAAGGCGTGCAGGCTAGAAAGGAGAACCGAATAGTCTAAGTGCGGGACATGAGTGACTAAGTCAGTACACTCACAGGTGCTGGGAGTTTTGAGCTGGGCACCAGAGCAGGCACAGCTGGCTTAGAAGCCTTTTCCACCTTGTTGGAGGCACGATAATTGGCAAAAGCTATAAGAATTTAAGCAGAGAAGAAAAAGATAAACAGAGAGATGCCTACAAAGTTCCTTCAGTGGTTGAGGCCTCTTGATCATGACTGGGTGAGGAGGCTTGGTAACCTTAGGACTAGGGAACAAGTATTAAGGCAGGAGAAAATTAATTAATGGCCAGAGAAATTAATTACCTGAGATCAGCAGGTAGAGCCGTTTTACTGGGGGAAGGCGTCGCGCTAGGCCAGACAGGAGGCACGATGATATCCTCGATGCAGTATGGCCTGAGGTTGTATTCTGACATGCAGTGTTCACCGTTAGGTGAATAATCGGGGTCCCCAGGAATGCAGAGCGATTCGTCAAAGACGAGCTACATGAGAGTAAGCCAGGAAGAATAAAGAGAGAGTAAAGGAAAATACTATGCACAGTATCACAATAAGAGTCACGCCTCGACAACTCCCAGACACGCCATTTTGCCCAGCGGTGGTTGGCTGATAACTGAGCAACCACATGTTGGATCTGACCATGGAGGCCAATTCCATAGCACGAGTCTTGAAGGTGATAGGTCCGCAACATCTCCATGTGCACGTCCTAGGAAGTGTAACGCACTAACTTGGATTGAACAACGTTTGCCTCCAAACTGTCACTCACATTCAGTGATTCAGTGTGATAAAGGGTGTTGCAATCGCTAGGTCAGGAACGATAGTTCTTAGGCACGAAACAGGGAGTTTCTGCATGAAAAGTTAGGAGTGTATAACTTTAGCTGAAGCTGGGGTGTAAGACCACAGCGAGGCTTGTTTAAATACATTGTGGTATTTACTAGTATGTACTGCTCCTGTATCTCGGTGCGTGCTGTCCCAATGCAGCGCTGTCTTCTATGTCCTCCATGTCGTATGGTACTTGGTATAGGAGAAGCCCTCCTGCGAGTAAGAAGGCTGGCATCCATAGGGCATGGTCTTCTGAGGAGCGTACGTGGCGGCTTGTCCATCCTAGGATGTGATCAGAGTTGACCTAAAGAAGTGTGACTGGGTGAAGGAGGGTCAGGCCCATAGGAGTGTGATCAGTCTATGGGCCATCAAACGGATCATGCATGTGAGCGGTGGATCCAGGGACCTATCAGGGAAGACTGATGGTTGTGTTGTGGCAATGCTCCGATGATGCGGTGTGAGCGTGATGATGCTAGAAGCGCTCCTGCGAGTAAGAAGGGCAGCATCCATATGGTGCTGCCTCCCACCGTGTATGGCTGCAGAGCCCATGACAGAGTCCCAGTGATATGGTCCATGGCGCGAGGTAATGCCGTGTGGGTGTGTGACCGAGCAGGTCATGAATGATGTGGATCAGGTATGAGGAATGATGATGAGAGTTGAATGACGAGTTGATGAGATAAGATAAGATAAGATAAGGCAAAAAATAGGGGTGAATTCATGACAGGAAGAGCACAATAAATAAGAGAAGGAGAGAATATAAATTAAGACACACCAGATATTGGTGAGTGTTGACCAACGCTGCTTTCATCTCATAATCAGAGGCGCAGCTGAGCTGTCGAATATCAAAGTAACGACCAATGTGCATATGAGCCCTGCGCAGGTTGTGGCAAAACTCCTCGAGGGGGATAGCATATGAGACGGCGAGGGCATCTTCAGCGACCATGACAAGTGATGGTGACAGTGATGAGAGTACGAAATAAAATGAGAGGTAACAAGAGGACGACCCTTGCATACGACACAGAGGTGGAATGAAAGAGAGGATAAGGAAGAAAGAGGAGAAAACGGGCTGGAGTCAGTTTAAATATTCTCAGAAGTTCAGCGTGACATAAAAAGAGAAAAGAGAACATAAGAAGTTCCCACTGTCATGAGAAGCTGAAGATGCTACATGACTCAGGGCTTCTTTCCACATGAAAAGAAGTTGCCATGGTAACCAGAACCCATTAGAACCTACTGGAACCCACATGCACAGACCATGGAAGGTCCGAAGCTTAGTGAGGGGGATATGACACATGCGCAACGCATTCATATGTGTAATTTGCAAATCCTGTGAATCCAAATGTGTGTCAATCCACTAAGTAATATTAGAGTGCATACCCGGCATGGAGCGACATCTGTTGAGTGTTAGCCACTAACTCTATCGACTTAGATCGTACTAAGGTCGCTACTCGCACTTCGGTAGACGACGCTTTAGCAAGTCAAAGACGACGCAAGTCGATGGGACAGATAGTCACGAAGGACGGAGTTCGATATTAGGTAGATTAAACCTTAGCCGAAGCTGGGGTTCAGACCAGCTGAGGCTCTACTTAAATACACGTGAGTATTCTAAAAATACTACTGCGCAGTCAGTCCGTGATGATCGCGCACTGCGTAATCCGGCTGACTAAAGAAAAGAAAAGAAAAGAAAAGGAAAGAAAAAGAAAAAGAAAAGAATAACCGTAACATTACCCCCTCCTTAAGACTCATTCGTCCCGAATGAGAATATAACTCCTTCCTTCCACATCAGCGAGTCGAGGGTCTCCCTTCTGCTTTAAAACAGGATTGATTGGGCCTCCGCTACACCGTAAAGAGTCACTTCGTGTGTTCGGCCTCCAACCCTCTCTCCCCCTGGACTCAGGTTCCTATAACTCCTGAGCCACCTTGCGCCGGTTAGGCCTCGACTGTCTGTCGGGATTCACAATCCCTAAGGGTTCAGTGCTCGTGATTGAGCAGTGGAAATCCCCTTCTACACCGTAAGAAATGGCCTATCTAGGCCGCGCTCGTCTGGAGCGAATCGTTTGAGTCGGTTCCCTCGCTCGAGGTAGATTGTCGTGATTGTGAGTAGAACGACCAGGTATCGTCGTCTGTGTCGTCATCTCTATCGGACTCGGTGTCCCAATTCTCCCTTATACGTTCAAGGTTTTGGAGGTTGACCTCTTCTTCTTCTTCAGGACTGTCGTCGGGAGGGGCGATATGGTCAATGATGTCGGAGTGGTTTGGATTTGTACATTCCGAGGAATGCACCGTTTTGATGTCGGTGACACATGGGGAGTAGGGATTATGGTATTCGACAGGCAAATTGCGTGGTATCTTGTTGTCGAATCCGATTGTCCTTCCCTTGTTGTTCACCATCCAAATCATTTTTTGGATTCGGGCCTCATAGTCGTTGACGAGGTCCTCGGCGTTGGCCATGTCGGAACACTTTACCCATGAGTTTTCCTCCGCCGGGTATCCTTTCCAGTTGACGAGGTATTCTGTGATGGTGCGACGAGTTCGTCCGCGACCAATAGCCCGATCTCTTTCTCCAACGATTTGTTCAATCTCATATTCTTCTTCTTCGTCAATAAGTTCGGGAGGCGGTCGCTCAGGTTGTGGTTGATTGGGGAACTCTGGAGTCTGGTATGGAGTTAACAGCGATTCATTGAATCGGTTATGTATGCGCCACTTCGTGGGGAGCTTCAGTTCGTATGCTGATGCTCCTTTCTTGGCCACGATTGTAAATGGTCCTACTCTCCTGTCTCCTAGTTTCTTTGTTGGACGAGGGAGGTTTAGGTTGGTAGAATCCAACCACACCTTGTCGCCGACTCGGTAGTCCCGTGCCTTTCCTTTGTGCTTATCATAAGCCCTCTTCATGGATTCTGCCGCTCGCTCGAGCGATTCTTTCGCCTTTTCCTGCACTTCTTGAATCCCTTGGACGAGTTTTGAGGCAGCTGGTACCGCGTCCGGGCGTTGCACTGCTTTGATTACTTGCCCATCATGCCCGAAAACAACTTTGTACGGGGAGAAGCCCGTGGCTGAGTGTTTTCGGTTATTGTGAGTGAATGCAGCAAGAGGTAACCAGTCGCTCCAATCGTCTTGGCGATAACTGACAAACATTTTGAGGTACTTCTCAATTTCTTGATTGACCCTCTCGGTTTGTCCATCCGTCTGAGGGTGGTATGCCATGGAAGGGTTCCCAGTTACGTGAAGAAGGGCGTAGAATTCTTTCATAAATTTGGACACAAAGACCGCTCCTCTGTCGGAGATGATCTTTTCAGGCATTACTCCGTAAGGTACGTAGACGTAGTCCCGTAGGATTTTTGCAAATCCCAAGGACGACAGCTCCTCGGTGCACGCGATGGGGATAATGGTTTTAGAAAACCTGTCGACTAGGACGAGAATGGAGTTATTTCCCTTGGAGTCCGGAAGTTTGGTGATCATATCGACCGAAATGTGCATCCATGGTCGATCTGGAACCTCGTTCGGGTGGAGGGGAGCCCTTTTTGGGCGACGATCTGCCTTTGTTCGTTGACAGACTTCGCATCCCCGTACGTACGCCTCTACTTCAGAGCGCATTCGGGGCCACCAGTAATCCCGTAGAATCAACTCTTTTGTCTTTTCTATCCCTGGATGCCCGGCGGTTGCATGATCATGTCGCAAGGCGATGATCTCCCCTCGTAGTTGCCTGTCCCGGGGTACATAGATGCGTCCATCGTACCATAATAGTTCTTGGTCCCGGGAAACCCCTTTTTCGTGGTTGAGGGAATCAGAAATTCCCCGATCCCACTTGCGGGGGTCATGAGTGGCCACCCTGATCTTTTCGTGTAAGTCCTCCGTGGTTGGCATGATCAGGGCCCTGAAATGAGCGGGCTTTAAGACTGTCACGTCTTTATTATCGTCCTTCCCTTGATTGTGATCTGCTCGTCGAGATAACAAGTCGGCTTTTCGGTTCTGAGCCCCTGGTTTATGATGTAGCGTGAACCGGTATTCAGCCAGTTCCGTCACCCACCGGGCTTGTCGTCGATTGAGCTTCTGGGGCTTCCGGAAGTATTGGAGATTGGAGTGGTCGGTCCAAATCTCGAAGTCCTCTCGAGCCCCCATGAGATACTGTCGCCATTCTTCCAGCGCGAGCATAATGGCAAGGAGCTCCTTGTCATAAATTTTATAATTGCGCTCGGTGACCGACAGAGCCTTAGAGAGGAAGGCTACCGGTCGCCACTTCTCTTCCTGCCACTGGGACAGTACTGCCCCGATTGCCCCTTCACTGGAGTCGGCCTCTACGTGGAATCTGCCTTCATCGAGCGGAATGGCTAAAACCACGTCTTTTCGGAATAGCTCCTTCAGTTCTTCGAACGCCTTTTGTTGAGACTCTCCCCACTTCCATTCCACCTTTCCGGTTAACATGGTAAGCGGTTTGACATGCTTACTATAGTCCCGAATGAACCGTCGATAAAAATTGCAAAAGCCTAGGAATGATTGTAATTCCTGCTTCTTCGACGGGACTGGCCAGTCAAGTAGACCCGCGATCTTGACGGGGTCCATGCGAATCCTCCCTTCACTAATGAGAACGCCCAGGTACTTGGTTTCTTCGACCTCGAACTCACATTTCTCCGCCTTCAAGAATAACTTGTTGTCACGGAGTATTTTGAGCACTCTGCGCACGATACGTCGATGATCTTCTTTGGTCTTGGAGGCGATGAGTATGTCGTCGAGATAGACTGATACCTCCCCGGCGGTTATTAGATCCTTGAAAATATCGTTCATCATCCACTGAAAAGTGGCCGGAGAGT